CAATGTGAAACATGGGTTTCACATTCAGAATGCAATATTATAAGATAGATGCCTAAATTTCCCTCAGGATGAATACAATACCTATCTATCTAAGATGTACTTGTACTATATTGATGTATAAAGATGCCAGGAAGTCTCTTTTTTTAAATGAAGTTAGTGGAATACGTTTTGTTGTGATATTTACGATGAGTGAAAAAGTCCGGACACATGTGGCTAAACATTTGGGCCTAATTACAAATGCAAAGTTCTCCACTAGGTGGCAGCAATGCTTTGTTTATTTTCTGCTTGTGTATTTCAGGTTTTTCTCAATGAACCCATCCCAACGCTATCAAATGTGAATGAAACCACTTGTGTGTTTGCAGGCTTTAAAAAAATCTATTACACTTTGAACACATGTGGACTCAGTGAATGACGAAACAAGAATTAAACTCCAGTATGTTTGGGGTGAAAAGGAAAATAAGTCGCAGGCTACTTAGGTATTGTGTTGTCATGGTCAGTTAGAAGATACAGATTTGTGTGCAAAGTCAAATTATGCATTAACTGTGGAATCATGTGGCACTACAATGGTGTGGCCCAAAACTTTCGAACTGGAAACCTTGTGGAAAAAAAACTCAGTTTCAGCTATTCAGTGTATTCACAGACGCAGATATACATAAACACAAGAGAGCATAGTTTAAAATGTTTAGGGATTATTTTTTAACATTAAAAACACTCAAATATGTTATGTTTTGTAATTTTGTTGCCTGTCTATGTTCTTTATCCTCCTTCACACTTAAAATACTATTCATGTATTGATAATATTTGATTTTCAATAAAGTAGTCTAAAAAATGTTGTTTGTACATTTTGGAATTGTTAAAAAAGTGTAAAAGTGTATGTGGTACCATGTGTGGGCCCATCTTTTTAACAGCGCCCCCGGTGGTCGGAGTCAAAACCTGCAGCATATCACCGGTCAGGAGGCTGCAGCTGCTCCAGACCTGAGGACCAGAGGGCGGCTGCCTCGTGTCTGTTCCCGAAACCACATCATTAAACCCGGCCAGGACATCGTGATGAGTCCACTCTGAAAAAGGTAAGCTCGACTTTCATTCCGCGTAATCCACTTTTCTTAAACCTTGAGGCATAACTCCTGTTAATGTCGTAATTTATCGACGTCGGAAAAAACATCACCGAACTCCATTCAAAAGTCAAAGATTTGTTGGTGCCGAGCTTCCTGTGAAGTGCATTTTAACTCAAAACTATTAAACGACAACGTGTTGGTGTCCTCTCTTTTATTCGGCGTCACTTTACGAGATATTTACTGTAAAAAAAAGTCAGGAAAATGTAATGAAAGAAACTAATTCACGAAGTTGCCAGTGCACTAAAGTGACATGTAGCTTCTGTCATGGATGCTAATGTTTCATTCAGAGTTGATGCATTTCTCCGGAAATAATACAATAAAGTAGCACTTTTAATCAGATATTAGTCAGTTTAACATTAAAAAAATATATAAATGAAACCTGGAAAGTACGTTTTACAAAACTTCATTAGGCTCCTATTCTCCTGTATCTAATATTCATGTCATCATTAATTAACTCCAGTAACCAGAGGTGGGGTGTAACTAAGTACATTTACTGTGTTCAAAGTTTTCATGTATCTGTACTTGATTCTTTTCGTGTGTTTTTCACTTTTACTCAGTTACGGCAAATATCAAATATCTGATTATTTGAAATTATTTATTTGTACTCTTACATCAGTATATAATGTTTTAAGTACTTCCCCCACCACTGCCACTTGTTGAATCCACAAGATGCAGGTGAAAACTACATTTAAATCACATGCATCATTTACATGATTTAAAAATGCTTCCAATATTTTGTTTGCGATTTATTAATTAAAATGTCTCCCTGGTAGTGACAGCCATTGGCCGGAGGCATTGTGTTTTCAGGCTGGCTGTCCGTCCTATTCCTGTGAAAGTGATATCTTAAAATCAGCTTGAGGGAATGTCTTCAAATCTGGTACAGCCATTCTGGAGGGAATTTCTTTGCACCAGGCAAATTTCACTTGGCCTCATGGATTAACTGATTAGATATTGGTGGTCAAAGGTTAAAGGTCACAGTGACCTTATATGAATCTGGAAAAATAATTATGTAGATCTAAAAACAAGAAAATGATCAAATGTGTTTATCTATGAAGGACTGATATTTATGACAGTGTGCAGTTTGGTGCAGATCCAAATAAAAACCTGGATCTAATGAATTTAACTGTGGTTGAGTGGCATTCTAGTTTTATTTCCAGCCACATTTTAAATGTCAGCTGAGTGGAAACAGAGCTGCTCAGAGTCATCCATTATACATACAAGGAGTCACTGCTGCTAATATATAAGCCCTAAATGGAAGTGGTGTTAAATCATTAAGTTGGACACCTGAATGTGTTACCCACAGACCTCAGCAGTCTCACATGAGGTCAGGCTGAAGTGTAAAAGGAGAGAAAGATGGATGAGCAGAGTAAGGGCGAGTTTAGTGCTGATGGACAGGTGGCTAGGCGTTAATGTTTTCTCCACTCACGTAGCCTAGAACTCACAGAAGACGCTCCATGTGTATGTGTTCAGCCTTTACTTATTCAGGGGAAGTTGTTAGAACTTAATGTTTACCGTGGAAAACTCAGAAAGCTAGAGTCCTCCAATTTCAACTTGCAACCTTTAAGTCACAAGTGAGAGGCAGTTACGGTCACGACACCTATTAGTATTCGGTCAAGAAATAGCTCAAAGGTTAAGGGAAAGGCTGCACACGATACCACAATCTCTCACTTTTCCATATCTATTTCTACATGGGTAAATAAACAAGATATAAAAATAAGTAAAACTGATTTGGAGCTGTTTACGGGCTTATGATTCCTCAAAAGTATTTTTAAGACTTTTCTCTATTCTCCAAATTGTTCTGTGTGGTTGTCTGCGTCTCCTCAGAGCACGACTTTTATTGCTCCTGTAGAAAGGTAAACCTCGGCAACTGCAGGGTTTTCAAAAACCAACACACAGCCGGGGCTTGTTTTAAAAAGGAGCGAGCTGAATGTTTGAAGTATTAAAAAGTCAATATTTCTTTGTGACACACAGGCCGGTTTTCACAGAGGAGCGCTATGTGCCGGACAAGGCAGCCATTGAGGGCCGGAGGTGGGGATGAGGGGAGTCGGGGCGCTGGTTTTGGGGTTAAGAGATGTTGGGAAACCACTGTACGCCTCCTTCTGCAGCTGGTCATGGATTAATGGAAGCCACTGGAGATTAACTGATATTCAACAAATACAAAGAGTCAGACCAGAACATCACCATTGTCTCTATAAAAATATGTTTCTATGATTTGACGGAGACATAATTCCTGCTTAAATTCGGTTAACAGGTTTTTTTTAAATCAAGAAAGCATGAACATTAGAGCTGAAACATTACTGGATGAACTGATTAGATGTACAAGAAAAACTAATTTGAGATAATCATGTGACATAAGATTATTGTTTTTCTTACTTCAAGCCTATCAGATGTGAAACTAAATTTAGTTGACTTTTGCACTTTGAGTCACACCAGAAGATGTCATCTTTACCTGTAGAGGATATTAATTTGCTTATCATCGATAATGAAAGTTGCAGAGTTGCATTCTTCGTTCAACTATGATACTGAAAAGCATGAATCGTGCTTTAGTTGCCTGGAGCAAACATCACGAAAAAACTAATGTACAATAAAATAAACACAAAAAAGCTGCTTGATTTTTGACCTAACATATTCAGAGGCTGGCTCAAAACGTACATTTGATTTACGAAACATTCTGGCACTTAGATGCAAACACAGACACTAAAGAAATACTGCGCACTTTCTGAGTCCTACAAGGTGACGCAGAAGTCATCATATTCACTTGTTTTATTAACGAGCTTGCCGGCGTTCATTTAGCCCCCCCTGAATTCCACTATCCCCTGTGGTTTCTAAAGGCGGCCATCTTTCAATGGCGCTGTTTTGGCTTTTTCTTCCACTCTCTCCTCTGCACCTCTCTGTGCCTGTAATCTTTCAGCCTCACCAGTGACAGGAGGGTTGTAAAAACAGAGCCGGAGGAGGTCATTCTGAAGTTTGCACAGGAGCGAGCCATTCATCCTCTCAGGGGGGTTTGGTACTCTTCACTATGGTGAGGCTGAGGCCGCGAGAGATGAATATCCTGCTCTGTAATGGTCGGGGATGAGGCTGGAAAGTGTTATTTGTCTCTTATGCTCTGCTGGGCACATGGGAAGCTAAACGATCCTGTCGTTTCTCAGTGGATATGATTAATTGGTGCTATTAATTTCCGAATAGGAGGTCAGTCCTTCGTCTTCTCAGATTGGCAGCCGCGTCTCAAACCACGTCTGACTGGTGTCTCTGTCAGGAGCACAAAGATACGTTGTACTTCTTGCTTGTTGACACAGACAATTGATTTGACTCGGAGTTCACCCTGACTGGGTTAATTAGAAAACTCTTTACATTTTGTGCTTGCGGGTAATTTTCGTTAAGAGTTTGGTCTTTTTAACTTTCCTGTCAAACAGCACTGATCAGGCACTCCTTATTTCTCAGAAATTGAATTTTCCTTGTCCACTCTGAAAAGGCATCATTATCATCATGTATCATATCAATTCAGACAGAAGGTTAGAGACACTTTTTAAAAGAGTGTAGACAAGAGGCAGAAAACTCATTTAATTTTAGAGCAGCAACACATCTTGTATTTGCAGAGTGTAGGATATTTTATTACATTATTGTTTCTCTGATTTTATGGATAAAATCTTAAGAAATTCACGCTGTTCTGCTTTGTTGTTAATGATATAATATGAAATGACTGCACCTATACCTTTACCTATGCTTTACCCATCTCTGCTATGACTTTTGACGTTAAGCCAATTTACCGTTTTTTACACCATCTGGTATTTACTTCATTCTTCTCTACAGTCCCTACTTCTCATGTTAAATGCTGAATAAATAGTTGTGTTGGGAAACTAAAGTTTATGCCACAAATGTATCACAAACCAAAAACCTTTCAAGACAGAGGAAATAATGGTTTTGTGAAATTGTGCAGTGGGATTTGAATGAGCGTCTGGAGCGAAAGATAATGAAGATCCAGTACGGGAGCTAGATGCAAAACGAATCTAATTCAGTGGTCTGCGATGACAACTAACTTTTCGAAGAGAGGGGTTGATTTAGCTTTATGGGTTTTTATAATGAAGGTTGTGGTTTAATGCCTCTAGATGTAGAAACAGAAAATGTATGACTTTGGTGTCCCCATAGTCGATGAATTTGTTGATAACATCACATCACATTTTTTCGAAAAGGGGTAATATTCTTTACTTTACATTTAGTCATCAATGCCCAGTGTTTACTCTTTCTGTCTCTGGTGGTGAGTCGGGAGGTCAGACTGGATTTCTCTGTTTTAGCAAACGGAATGTTTGCCTGAGCTAATGTCGTCTGCTATTGACTCTCGTCTCCTGATTCATTTGCACACTGATGCCACTGCAGCTGTGTTCGACCAACACCAAGGCTCAGTTTGTATCAGAATGATTTAAAACTTTACACCAGAACAGTCTCGCTCTTGTCCTTTTTTACGTCTTTGAGGACGTTATCTAACGGCCCTCAGCATCTCAAACTGATGCTGTGACACAACTGTGACATAAAGACGCTTTTATAAGTTCATAGAGCGAAAAGAGGGAACGTTGATAAAAGATGGTTGCTTTTTTCAGGTGCTTCCACCTGTTGAAATACACCAAAAACTGTTTCGAATCCTTCATATTTTTAAAATGTTCCTCTGAATATTGGAGATAAACGCTGGTTTTTAATGACTTCTACTTCTTTTTAACTTATCTACAGTTCAGCATTACTTTTGAACTTGCTGGACCTGATTCTGACTATTAAATCGAAGCTGTGATCATCAGTCAGTTACAAACTTCTCACAGGAAATTGTACCTGCTCACCAAAGTAACATTGAGCAATTCAGTGAACCATCAAACTCATTTTGAGGCTGCTTTAAGTGATAAGTTCACGTTTTAACCTGTTGACAAGTGATCTGTGGTAAATGCAGTGCAAAAACACCACAATATCACTATATAAAACAAAACCCTGATTTAAATGATTGAGCAGATTACCAACTAAATCTGACCCTTTTTTAAAAACCAAAATCTCAAACTGGATCTTTCAAGCATAACAATACACACACTCACAGCGGGCAGACGTCCCCTCTCCATTCAGAGAGTTAACAGTTTGCTCTGCACAAACAGGAATGCTTTGCTCCCCCCTCCTGCTTTACTCCCCTTCCACCTCTCTGAACACACTCTGGTCAGCGTGCCACTGTGTGTCGATGTGAAACAACTTCTCCCTCCCTTGTTTTTCATACCTCGTCCTCTCTCCCCTTCTCTCTCACCATGTGAAGCGTCGGGATCCATGCCGCCCGTGTGTGAGTCTCTCGGAGCAGTTGGGTGATGGTGAACAAGTAAGTTTATTCTCCTCTATATTTCTGTGTGTATGCACGTATCCCATGGGTAGGTGGGCTCTTTCAGTGCAATTACTTATTCTTTTGTGCCGTCCTTTTCGGTCTTTGTGTCCAATTCGACTGAGAGTTATTCCGTTTCCTCTCCGCAGGCTCATTTCTTCTTCTAATGATCAATATGATGACCCTTCACCTCTCCCCTCTCCCCCCTCATTTCACTCCCATCCTCAGAGTATACGTATATCACTCAGTCTCTGACTTCGGAGGCTGCACGCTGTGTGGATAGACATGTGCTAACACTCAGGGTGGGCTCAGGTAATGTGTGGCGGATATTTTTCTTTGTTCTGAGGCATGAGTGCTAAAATTTGAAAGGGGAGGGCAGACAGAGGAAAAGACCCCGAATGGAGCAATAGCATCAGTCTGGATTCTGACATTATATCTGAATGTGTGTGTTGTTTGATGAGCATTTGGCCTTTTGTCAAGCAAAAGACACAGGTTGTACTGACTATAATCTCCCTTCTAGCCCTTTTCTAAGAAGCGCTCTTGGGATACTGATGAATATTTTTGACAAGAAGCAGCATTTAGAAACATTTAGTTGATTAGTTGTAATGGCATATTTGTGGAATGTGCTATTAGTCATGACTGGAAGATAATCCCTGGCACCGCAGTTCACAAACATGGTGCTCTCTTCTGTAACTAGAGTTTGAGATGTTGCTCTCTGACAGCATCATCAATTAGATGTAATTAATTTGTCATTAAAACACTTTTAGTCACACAAGGGTTTCAAAGACTACAGACAGTCTTAGTTTGCATGATGATATGACACCTTTACCACAGCCATGCCGGGTACAATATGTCCATGCACAGCAGTAATTTATGGACAGTAGTCAAATGTGTTTTTAAGAATAACTTGGCCTTCCAAATGGAAAACAAACTACTCCCCACAAAGAGAATAGAATAAAAATACATTTGTTTTATTCTGCCAATAACCATTTAAATTGCATGCAGAAAATGAAAGTTTGAATATTTTCCATCCATTTGCAGCAGCTCCTAAAGGAATGGACGGTATCAGTTGAACATTATTATTATGGTGTCACACATGTTTGTGGCTCTCAATCCTCTTAAATGCATTATCACTTGTGCATTTGCAGTCAACTGGTGGTTGCACTTTGAAAAAACAGTACATTTCCTGAATGGGACTTTTTCTTTGCATCCAACCACCTTGTGACAACCATCTTAAACAAAACAAGCTGTTAATCACTCCCATTTGACTGTTACATACATGTTAAGTGGATATTGCTCTTATGTTAGTGAAACCAATACCTGTTAACACATTCAGCAGACAAAGAAACTTCAGCATTCATTACCTCTACCAAGGTAATGTTTTAGTTTGTTAGATCATTAGAGAGATTTTGCAAAAACTACTGGACGGATTACTACATAACTTGGTGGAAAGTTGCCGTATGCTTCAGGGAAGAATTTTGGTATGGATTCATATCAAGAGGCAAATTCCCAGGGAATCATTCACGGCTCTTTGTGAAAAGAGGAATGTTTAGGGAACTGATATTTATGTGTGTGCAATTTGGTGCATCTTGACTTCGTTATACTTCTCCTGAGTTACATTCTTCAGCAACATAATGACTGTAAATCCACAATTCTCTCTCCTAGTTTTCTACCAACTCCTGAGAAAAAGATTTTCATTCCAAAGCTGCTAAATGCTGCGTTTTGTTCATTAGCTACCTGCTAAATTTGGTCTGCAGGCTGTTTGGTGAGTAAGTTGATGCAAAAAGATGCTATAAATGCTGAAGACCATACTAACTACTACCGTGTCTTAAACATTACACATTGGTACAAATCAGACTGAGAGATATACAGATGGAGACGTGGACGAAAGGCAAGTTAATAATCTAATGGTCAATAACTGTTAACTTAGCTGTTTGCTTGTGCATCATTTGATATTAGTATGATATATTCGTGATGTGTAAAAATGGATTGGCCAAAAAGTTTGAATTCTCCTCTACTGAGGGAGGACGTGGGTGTTAGTGATCCTGACAGAGGAGTTGAAGAGAATGCAGCAGGTATGCATTTGTTAACACACCCTCCCTGTGTCATTTATTCGAGAAAGCAAAAGAAATGGAGTCGATGATAAGAGAACAGAGGGAGACAGAGAGGGAGATAGGAGGAGACAGATCGGTGCAGCTGTGTGCCTCTTTAGGATTCCTGCTCTCTACCTCCTCTCGCCGGGGCCAAACCGGCATCATTAGGTTTGGCAAATTACCCCGAGCAGCCATTGTGGCGCGGCCATGGCGCGTTAGTGTGTCTTTTTAACTGTGGCTAAACTCAGTCTATTCACTTGTAAAAGAGAGCGGCCATTGGCAGATAGTTGGCAGGTTGCACAGAGAGGCCATTCACCCCGGTAGGAAGGAGCTGAGAATACGGCCTCGGAAATGGTCCTCTCTGAATATTTTGATGGAGAGACTCTGGATGCCCTCTCAGTGTCCATTTGCTACAACTAACAAATCTCCATGAACTGACTTCATTGCAGATTAATACTTTTTCATAGGTGAGGGATCAGTTACCATCAAGTGAGAGCTGTGACTGTAACTCTCAGAGGATTTACTTTTCATTCCAGCTGCTGTTTTGTGAGCCTTTTGTTCTAAAGGAGGAATTTAAAGTTTGCAGGTTTTTGGTTGTAGGGACATGCTGGGAGGGGGTTCACTGTTTCTTTTAATGAGAGAGTTTAGACAAGAGGCAGCTCTACAAGGGTCAGACACTGGACTCCCTCCTTTTCTTTCTCATGTCTTGGAGGAACAAATTACAGGGGCTTATTGAATGAAGAAATAATTGCTTGTAATTAATTTCCTTGTCATATATCACCTCAGTAAAGAGGATTTGTCTGGATTTTAATGAAGCTCGCTTGAGATGTGCACCCAGTGTCTCAGCATGCTCATTTTGTCGCCTGTATAATCCTGTTGGACCTTTTTGATCGAGGGTGTGACAGTAAATGTCCTGTGAGGTATAACCGGGGAGGATTTACTCATCTTGTCAGACAAAGAAATAGCACCTTTACAGTGTCGGCCCACTCATCCTAAAGAGGTTCATCCGTGCCTCACTCTCCCCTTCATCAAATCAACTCATTCATAGATAAGCCGTGGGCTGAAGGCATCCGAGTGACACACACTGCGGGAGGGCCGTCTCTGTGGTCCCTGAAAAGACTGAAATGTTCTACTCCTTCAGTTTTTTGAAGACAAAGCCAGGAGAGCTTGAATAGAAAGTTCCTCAAACAAGACAAGTTCAGTGTTGCTTTGATTTTGTATACATGCTTTAAAAAGCTCGAGATTCCCGGCTTTTTAAAGGATGGGGTGTGTGAGTGGTGGTTGTTGCTGGAAAAAGATGCAATGTCCTTGGAGGAAGGCTGTCAAAAGCTTGCAGAGAAAAAGAAGCAGGAGATTTTCTTTTTTGTTTTTTCTTAACACCAAAGTAAAGACAGAGTTTCCCTGATTTCAATCAAGCTGCACCAAATTTCACACACTCATTAATATCAGTTCTCTAAAATGAAAATGTAAAAGAAAACAACCTGTCTCACAACGTTGAAGAAAGTGCAAAATATATTCCTGTATACTCCCCTTTGTCCCAAAAGATCCCAAAATGTGATGGATTCCTTCTTGGCTCATTTCCAATCCTTCCACCAACGTTTCGTGGAAATCGTTTCAGTAGTTTTTTATGTAATCAAGCTGATAAACTACTTGTTTTATTTTCCTCTGGAGCAGCTGTGTTTATCTCTGACAGTGTTAAACCTTCAGTAGACACATTATCATCTTAGTTATGCAGAGTCTGTGTTTCCTCTGAGCGCGGTGGAGGCTGAAGGTGTTTGAGTGAGGAGACACAGGCAGACACATACTGTAAGTTATGGAGAGAAAAACACGCGGCCAACAGAGCTGTAATGTACACACCTGTCATGCATTGGTGTGTTGATACAGTGAAGCCATTAGACTCTCAGGCTCAGAGGTTTAAACCCTGGCAGTGTTCATCTCCGTGTGGGGGTCACATGTTCGCTCCATGTTTCCCTCCCACACACCCAAACACACACCGGTCACATGAATCGCAGACTCTGTATTTCTAATCTCTTCACAGGTTGTTCAAGCTTTATGGTGTTTTTCCAACACAGGCAGCTACACCAGCGAATGAATGGATGAATGTTCTGACACGCTCCGGCTCCAGGAAAACACTGCAAGGCTTGAATGTTTGCCACTTTCACTTCCTACGGTTCAGTCAAGGCCGCTTTCCTCCTTGTTTGCATCTGGCAGCAGATCGTGTTTTGGCTGATCCGGATCTCGCCAAGCACTGAAAACTTTTCTCAAATTCATATCAGATAACACAAAATATATTTGATCAATTAATGGAGAAGTTATTGAATAGAAAATTCATCAGCAGCATTTTTTCCAATCATTTAAGTAATTTATTGAGTCAGTAAACAAAACTTTTTACTGCCCAATTTCTTAATTAGCTCCCAAATATCCGTATTGGTCAGGATCATAATTAAATTATGGCTGCACAAAATGTAACGCAGTGAAATATTTCAGTCTGGAGTAAAGTGGTTAATCATCTAATTAACTGATTGCGTCTGATTCACATCTTCCTCAAGTAATCACTGACTTTTACACGGTAGAGTGAAGTTTGTGTGGCGTCTCCTGCTGACAATCAGTGTTAGTTGCTTTTAACCATAACTACAAACTTTCTCTCATCTTAACTAAGTAGTTTTGTTTGACAAAACTCAACTACATTGGTGACAGAACAATCCATGTTGCCATGTAGTTATGGCGACTTGTTAAGAATCTGCGTCTGTACATTTCCCTACTGTCTCTGCAGACTCTGACTGACATCCGCTGCTGCTGCTTCTCATTGTACTGAAGAGATAAATCCCTGAACATTAGGCCTCTCATTGTTCGGCCTGTGCACGGCGAGAAGAGCACGGCCACGTAACAAAAGTGAGGCCAGCGGTGGAGCCTCTGTTCCCGTCGCTTCATTAAGCAGCAATGTCGGACCCAGCAGGTTGAAAAACCTCTGCCTCCCCTCCACAAACATTCAGTCCTCCTGGTGAGACAGACATTCAACACTTCCATTCTGTCCTGAAGAATATTTTGAAGACTAAGCCTTTAAAAACGACTTTATCTTCCAATTCTATAATCAAACATTCAGACATTTTCCTCGGTTGCTTGCAGGAAAAGTCCTGCAGAATGTCGTGACTCTGACATTTGCTTTCTCACTTGCAGCCCCTCTGGAAGATTTTAGGAAACTGTCCGGACTTCAGTGCACGTCTGAAAGCAGCTTGAATGTCTGTTCTCTATCATGTTAGAGTTAAAACAACCACCTTTGGTTTGTCTACAACCTTTTAAGGGCGCTCTTACGATGAGTGTCTTCCCCTTGAAAAAAGACTATGCTGGGATCAGGAGTTCCATCCCCTGCTTTGTGTATCTCATGCTAAAAATAAATGCTCTCCTGTGTAAACTGCTGTAATGGTAAAATTTAAAAAGTGCTTTTGGACTGTGCTGCACACGGTGGTGAGAAATGAGCAACATTTGTATTTGTCAGCGAGATTTTACTCCTGACAGTTTGAGTTATTTGATATCACTGAATCAAATTCCCATTGCTCAGACTGCCTTCACAGCTGGTTCTTCAAGGAAAATAAAAGAGGAGGAGAAAGAAACAGAGGGGGAAAAAAAGTATGCCAACCCAATCACAACCAGCTAAATACAAGATGCACTCAGATATTGTCTCTTTGGATCCAGTTTGAACAACGTCTCACAGCAAGTAATTCATTTTCTGTCTGTTTTCATGATTAAAAAACTGTTAGTCTGGTGGATCTTCATCACAATGTACCTGGTTCCCAGCCAATTTTTGAATGTGCCTTTGCTGAAACCACGTGCACATCACCATCAGACAATTATCTTTGAGCAGACTTCATGTACGTAAATGGATTTTGATGTTGACACAAAGGCTCCTCATGTGGCTCGCAGTTCAAAGTTCATAGCCCATGTTTGGCTCTGGGCCCAGCCTCGTCTCTGAATGGGTCTCCTCAGTCATGAAGAGCCTCTGCAGACGGCACCCTTGGTCTCAGTCGGCATTAGAAAGATTTTGCGGCCCGGGCCTTTTGAGGTGAATCAGCCGTGACCGAGTCCTGCTGACACCGAGGGCTCACCCAGCAGCGACAGAGGGACCGTTGGGCCGCAGGACTGGCAAAACTAATTTGAAATGGATGGACAGGCTGACAGAGAACAGGGACGGGTTGGAAACAAATATGGATTTAAGATGGATTAAGAATTTCCATCATTAGTGTTTGATTCTCAATGCTCATGTGCTCATGTGCTCAAAGCGGCTCTTCTTTTACAACAGGTGTTTCCTGAGCACCTGATTGAAGACTGGATGTGGTTGTAGCTATGCTGACGTCAGGGTGGGCCCTCTCCCGCTGTGGCCTTGTGCTACTCATCTGCTCGTCCCTCTGTCTGTCCCAGCAGCCTCACATCAAACTTACAGACTGCAGCAGAAAGGAACATCCTGTTGTCTCCTACCAAAGTGAGTACATCCAACCGTTCATCGTCTCACCCATTCATCCATCAGCCGTCATCTTTAGAGAGAACACAAGAACAGATCCAATGAAATGACTTTAATTTGACTTACAAGTAGAGTGAACAGTCAGGGAGACAATAAATAACTTGATCAATATCTATTATAGTTATATATACATACATGTATATGATATGTTAAAGACACTCTTCTAATTCTGAACTGGTCATCAGTTAACTTCAGTCAGACAACACAATGCAACACATACATTTCTGGTGTTGTCGACAGAAATTGCAGAGAAACTTGCAGTGGATGAAACAACACGTCATCGGTGTCATGTGCACATCTCGGTCTGGGAAGATTTGAAGCTTTGAACCGTTCACGTCTATCCTCAGTTGCCCCTCTGACTGTTTTCATACTCAGGCTTTTTCTGCCAAATGAGTGTGTTTTTCATTCTGTGTAGTTAACCACAGGGGTCAAAGAGCGAAGCCTCTGGAAATGACCTCTGTTAGAAAGACTCACTTTTCATGCGGAGCAGAGTGTCTGTGAGTGTCTGCGTGGACAGCCTGTGTTTGCCTGCATCGACACAGGTCATAATGTGCACAGGGAAATGCACAAAAGCAATTTGGATTTAATAGCTCCCTCTGAAAATCACTGTTGCTCTGGTGATGGTTTGTATTCATGCGATACCGTCGTTCAAAATGGAGATGAGGCCAGACCAAGAGTGATTGGTCAGTTTTATCTCTGATAGCCTGCTGTTTGCTCACAGTCTTACTGCATCTTGAGTGATTAATAAGGAATAAATATTGCAACAAATGAGTTTCAACTTTAATTTAGAGATGATCAGAAACTTGATTACAACCTGAAAAATGCAGGACTTTTGGTTATTCAGTATCAAGTGCTTTGCCTGGTCTGTTGTGGAATAGTCAAATCATATTTTTTTATGTATGGTTCTCTCTTTTTTAAATTTTAGTTTGTTATATGGGTTTTAACACTCAAAAATCAATAAATCGGACTTAGCTGTGGAGACGTGGTTTACCTGTATCTCACATTCCGTCACATCTTCACCACTTCGCACACATTTCGATCTTCTGGCTCGTTCTGGTGTCAGGTTCTGACTGATTTATTGATGCATCAGTAAAAACTCTGAGGGCACAACTGAAGACTGTGAGACCAAGTATCATTTGGTGAAGAGGGATTCCCACGCAAATAATGGACAACTTATTTCTTCCCCTTCTTCCTAATTTTCCTCCTCCCGCTTCCTCTTAATTCTTCTGATTTGCTCCTTGTCTTCCCCCTGTTCTTGCTCATTATCCTGCTCCTCCCACTTCTTTCTCCTCCTCTTATTCTCTTGCCTTTTGTCACTCCTCTCATTAATCTTTTCTCCCCGTCATTGTTCATCTTTCATAACGTCTTTCTCCCTTTATTTCTTGCCTTTTTTCACCCCTCCTACTTCTATTTAACTTGTCCTGCGACCATCAACCCTTTCCTCCCCCTCCACCCCTCACTCTTCATCCAGTGTTGACGCCGTGGATGTCGGAGTTCTCCCATTCAGGAGTGAAGGATTTCTCCCAGCTGGCTCTGGACCTGAGCAGAAACCAGCTCATTGTGGGAGCGAGGTAACAAATAACCAAATAACCATTACCAGTATCCAATGTGATAAAGTAAATATAAATCATCAGGTTTATAGGATTAGATCAGGAGAGCATGTCAGACCATATTTATGACAACACTACAAGAAACTAAATAAGCGAGATTCAGAATCATAACCATTCTATCAAACGCCTCTGTGTGTCTCTGCTGCTTATTTCTTATTTTCGTTTTCAGAAACTTTATCTTCAAGCTGCGTTTGAGCAACGCCTCCCTCATACAGGTATAACACCAGCCAAGATTATGCTTATATGATATTATTTAAAATGAATTTAATGTTTATTATTAACTAATTGTTTATTATATGACTAACTGATACCAAAATTAATGTGATGCATGCCGCACACACTTTATACACCCCCAATGCTAACTTTTGTTATCACTCTTGTGACATGTGTGTTTTTAAATCTTCATGATGTACTGTATCCAAACTTAATTCCCAAAATCAAAAATATGTTTTGTTTTTTCCACAGGCAACAGAATGGGCACCTAGTGAAGATACAAAGCGCTCATGTCAGAGCAAGGGCAAATCTGAGGTAGGGTGCAGTCTCGTATCACACAGAAAAAATGGGTCACACTCACACTCACACTTTTCGTTTACTCTCTTGTTCAAGTTTAATGAACTATAGAGGGGGAGTTCTTTCTCGTGAAACAGAGATGCATTTGTCTGCAGGAGGAATGTCAGAACTACATCCGGGTTCTGTTGATCAGTGGGGGGACGCTGTTCACGTGTGGGACCAATGCTTTTACCCCCGTGTGTATGAGCAGGCAGGTTGGTACAAGAGTTTATCATGAGACGTCACAAAGCAAGTTACCAGGATCCTCCCAACACTAGAATTCTTTTTTAAAAATTAAACAAAACTGAATTTCAAGTCTGCAGCTTACAACTCTATCACTACAGGATCTCAAGCCTGTTTTAAGTTTTTGAAGTTGAGATTTTTGGTTCTTCCATTATACAAATGATGGAAAATGGTAGAAGCTCAATATTGAATCAATATGTCACTGAGGTTGAACGCATGCAGCCTTAAAACCAAAGAGAAATACCTTAACTACCATTTCCTATTAAAGACTTGAGCTGTTTCTATCCTCTGTCCGTCTTTCTGTCAGATTGATAACATCAGTCAGGTGTTGGACACTGTGAACGGCGTTGCCCGATGTCCCTACGACCCGCGCCACAACTCCACAGCCATGGTAACGGAGAAGGGCGAGCTGTACGCTGCTACAGTGATCGACTTCTCGGGACGTGACCCAGTCATCTACAGGAGCCTGGGGAACATGCCGCCGCTGCGCAGCGCCCAGTACAACTCCAAGTGGCTCAACGGTAAACAAAGCACCACACAGATTTAATTACAGCCTTATGTGTCTGTTTGTGAAAGTCATATATTTTCTCTTTTCTCATTCAGAGCCTCATTTTGTGTCTGTTTATGAGATCGGTCGCTTTGCCTACTTCTTCCTGAGAGAAACGGCAGTGGAAAACGACTGTGGGAAGATGGTGTTCTCTCGCGTGGCACGGGTGTGCAAGAACGACATGGGCGGTCGTTTCCTGTTGGAGGACACCTGGACAACCTTCATGAAGGCCCGACTCAACTGCTCGCGCTCAGGAGAAATCCCCTTTTACTACCACGAGCTGCAGAGCACCTTTTACTTACCAGAGCAGGACCTGATCTACGGCATCTTCACCACTAATGTGTGAGTGATAGTTATAGTCATTGATGGCATCATTAAAGGGGAATTTCAGTGATTCTTCATGTTAAAGTCTTACTTGTCAAGATTTCTCATTTTCCTCAAGCCCCCACTTTTGCTTTCCTTATTGTCTTTCACATTGAATTACTGCGATCTGACCACGATACCATCCCCCGTCCTCTAGGAACAGCATATCAGCTTCAGCCATCTGCGCCTTCAATCTGAGCTCCATCACTCTCGCGTTCAACGGACCTTTCCGCTACCAGGAGAACCCCCGCACTGCCTGGCTCTCTACCCCAAACCCCATACCCAATTTTCAGGTAACTCATATTTCGAAAGACTGGATCCAGTGGACACGTCTGACAGACATGGTGTTGATAGATATGAGACTGTTGCGTATTTCCCAGTTTCGCAGCCTTACCTCCAAGGGGACAGCATTCCATCTGTGTGAGTGCACACCTAGATTGTTGATGCAGGACAGTATAAAGAAAACTCACAGACGTGACGAATAACTTTCATGAAGGCTCTGTTGAAAGATAAGATAAGATAAGCTTTATTGTTCCCACACTGAGTAAATTTACTTGTTACAACAGCGGATGGCAAAAAGGGGTCAACAAAAGAGAAAGTACAAGATAGAATAAAAATGAGCACGAAAATAAAAAAGACATTATAAAAAACATTGTGATATGTACATAATATACAGATATCACAACAGACAGATATTATCTTTAGAGACAGTCCCGAAGACCCAACACGTGCTGTTCTTACACTAGCTTGACCACCATCACAACAGTCCTTTTCTCAAACACTGATCCTCTTCATCCTCAGTGTGGCACTCTGGAGGAGGGAGGCCCTGGGGGGAACCTGACGGAGCGCAACCTCCAGGAGGCCCAGCGACTCTTCCTGATGAACGACGTGGTGCAGCCGGTCACCATCAACCCGCTGCTCACCCAGGACAATCTGCGCTTCTCCAAGCTGGTAGTGGACATCGTGCAGGGCCGAGACACGCTCTACCATGTCATGTACATCGGCACTGGTGAGGAAGACGGGGCAGAGTTTGGCATAAGTTACACTACTGATTTCAAATCAAAGGTTTAATAACAGAACTTTTTTCTTTGTCCATCTTGTCAGAGTATGGCACTATCCTGAAGGCTCTGTCCACAACCAACAGAAGCCTTCAAGGCTGCTACCTGGAGGAGCTCAGGATCCTTCCTGACGGACAAATCCGACCAATCAAGAGCCTGAAAATTCTCCAGAGTGACAGGTCCTTGTTTGTGGGACTCGATGACAGATTGGTGAAGATCCCATTAGAGCGATGCTCCAACTATCCAAACGAACGGTACAATCCTTATCGACCTCAAGCATGCAATCAATCAAACTTTACTTTGTACCTGTCATACAGATTAGTGCATTTCAAAGTGCTATAAAGTAAATAGAAGGAGAGAAGTCAATAAAATGGGATCAAAATCCATATTAATGATAACAACATTAATAGACCAGTAAAACTGAATGAAGTTTAGAAAATAAATACAATAAAATAATGTCTAAATCACCATTGACTCTTCTCTGTCCAAAATTAATCCGATTTATAGACTTTTTGTGTTCTGATCAGATACCATACCATTCAGGTTTTTGTATTTTTATTTAATCAACAAAACACTTAACTTAAAGTCCAGCACTTTTCCGCTGGAGTGTCTCTGTGTCTGTCCAGTGTGTGTATTTTTAAAGTTAAACCATATGGAAATTCACAATCTGCAGCCAATCATTAAGTAAACATTGCACTTTAAATCTGTGACCCTCAGTGTATGAATTTTAGTGTGCAAATGTACTGACTTGAGAGAAAAAAACTATTATGAGCTCAGCACCATTAAAGAGACAAACACGTGTGGGTCTCCACGTCGGAACGGCTCACAGTAAACGCTGACAAAGATGATTATGTTAAGAGCCCATTTTACTTTCCCCTGTAAAGAAACTGCTTTTGAACTGTCACTCCATATTTTGGCTTGCCCCAGAGCAGAAATTACACAAGTAGGCTATTAGTGAATTTGTTGACTAACTGTAATATGCTGACAGCCTGGTAAGATATTTTATGATGTACTGTACAGTAGTTCCTCGGTATTAACCCCTTTATCAGCCTGTAAACACAATAGAGGTTCTTTGATAATCTCAGAATAATTTGACTCCTGCTGATTGTTTGACAAGTTTGTGAACTCATTTTGAATCAAACGATGTGTAGCTTCAGCTAAATATCTGATCTCTTGTTAGCTCCTGCATGGAAGCCCGGGACCCATACTGCGGCTGGGATCTTAAACAGAAGCGCTGCACCACCTTCGAGGAGAGTTCCAACATGAACCAGTGGACCCAAAACATCACAGAGTGCCCCGTAAGACCCCCCCCACACACCCGTGTAATGTTCTGTACTGTATAATAGGTATAATAAGCATAGTATGTAAAAAATGTCTTTCTGGAGGTGAGGAACTTAACTCAGGATGGCGCTTTCGGCTCCTGGGCACCGTGGCAGCCCTGTAACCACGATGACGGCGAGGGCTCCATCAGCAGCTGCGCATGTCGGTCCCGCTCATGTGACGGACCAGTGGCTCGATGTGGTGGTGTCGAATGCGAGGGTCCTACCATTCAGGTGGCAAACTGTTCCAGGTACAGATATTCATGATCCCAAATCCAAACCCTGAAATCAAGGAGTAATCTTCATGACTTCAAAGATCAATCATGAGAGCAAAGATATACTTATAAATCTGAAACTATTTTATATGAATACAATCTGATATTAAAAAAGAGGGAGTGATATAAAGTTACAAGGTTATTGCATTGAATTTGTTTTTATTTACAATAATTTTAGCTGCAGAGAGAATAATGGACTTTTGTGTAGCCCTTGCAGTTGAATTAGTTGAATGCTTTTATTAATATTCAATCGCTTATATTTAAAGTGGAGTTTTTCAATTAACACTGAAACAATATCTGAGCTGCATGTGATGGTATTTACGTTTCCTGTTCCTCAGGAATGGCGGCTGGACCCCCTGGTCTTCATGGGGCCAGTGCAGCAGCAGCTGCGGCATCGGCTTCGAAGTGAGGCAGCGGTCCTGCAACAACCCCTCGCCTCGCCACGGTGGTCGAATCTGCGTCGGCCAGGGTCGAGAGGAGAGGTGAGGAGGAGTGTGAGATGTAGTGGCCATCTTTACTGCATGGCTTGGTTTAGTGTTAAAATATCACCACATCATTGACAGTAGAAGCCTTGTCAGTACAGGAACAAAGGTTTGACATATACTTCTTAGCTTCTTAGATACAACAAGGATCCTGATCATTCTCTCATGTTTCCAGGCTGTGCAATGAGAAAAGGCCATGTCCCCTGCCAGTGGCGTGGACAGCATGGGGCCCCTGGGCTCACTGCAGTGCCGAATGTGGAGGTGGGGTCCACTCCAGGACCAGAACCTGTGAGAATGGAAACACGTGTCCTGGATGTGCCACGGTACTGCAGTGCTGAAAAGTCAGGGTTTGTTGTGAAAGTAAAACCAATCCAGATTAATAATGATTTCATTTGCAAAAGTAGACAATCTGCTGTGGGAAACTACATTTATATTTATCAAATATTTCACAGAGGATAAATGAAGAATATGCAACACAACAGTTGCACCTCCTCTAGATTTTTCTCTGTCCGATTCTACTAAATCTGCATCACACTCATAGGTATCAGTTTCAAATGTGCCGGATTTTTATTCTCTAAAAACTCTATGAAAATATTTAAGAAAAACAGAATTGGAAATACAATCCTGGATCTCTGCACCAAAATGTAATGGATTCTTTCTTGGTTCATGTTCCATCCTTCCACCAAGTCTCAGGGAAATCGGTATAGTAGTTTTTATGTGCAACTTCATTACAAAGTTGAAAAGAAAATGAATCATTCAAGAACATGTCCTGACACTCTTCTGCTTGCAGGGCAGAAACATTTTTATCATCAGGCACATGCTGTTAACCTTGGGTACCTGGGGTTTGAGCTGTGGACGCAGGCCAGCTTATATAAAGTGGAATATTTTTATTGTCATATTCCAGCAACCATCCATTAAGAGTAGCCCCATCTGACTCATCACTGATGAACCCACTCCATAAGAAGTGACTGTGAAGCATCATTTTATGTTTTTAGCTGGATGCAGCTTTGTTAAATGGTCCCATTCAACACAGTAATTGGCTGCGTAATAAACTCGCTCCAGTAAAAACTGCAGTATCCTGCTATTGTGTAGCAGTATGTATTAATGCAGCAATGGTTCTACAAACTGTTCATCATGAATTGCAGAAAACATTAGGACGTATGGTGTCGGCAGATAAAGTATATAAAGCATTAGCTACAGCCTGTGGCTCAGCAATGTCTGCTTCATCCACTCTGCCCTCCAGGAGTTTAAGGTCTGTAACCTGGAGGCTTGCCCTGAGGTCCGCCGCAACACCCCCTGGACTCCCTGGATGCCGGTGAATGTCAGTCAGAACGGGTCACGGCAGGAGCAGAGGTTCAGGTACACCTGCCGGGCTCTGCTGCCCGACCCGCAGCAGCTGCAGCTGGGCAAGAAGAAGGCGGAGACCCGGTTCTGTCCCAGTGACGGGTCTGGAGCCTGTCAGACGGACTGTGAGTACAGAGAATGTACAGCCATGTTTTCCACCGTCAGGTACCATGGCAACATGATTGTTTCCATGGAGGAACACATGGTGCAGTGATTAATGTATCCTGATGACGTAGATTGATATAAAGATGGAGACGTTTATGATAAAATGTCAAAGAATACATCAATACACTTTTCTCAAAGATGTTTTTTGTCATTTAAGTTCATTCTTATCATACTGATGCTTGTGCTTGTTCGTTTTTCCATTAAGTTTAGTTCTAATTAGTTATTTGATGCTATAAAAACCGGGTGAAATGTCGTGATTGACAGCTGAGACTGACTCATGATCGGTCGAGAGTGGGACCTCAATATCAGGGCTCCATCACTACTGGCTTCAAATGACATGATATGCAGGAAATTTAGCTTCCTCCCTGGATAGTGGGACATGGGCGGACACGTCGTCCATCTTTATTTACAGTCTATATTTGATGCCAACATAACTTTGGGATCACGTCCCAGGGAGTAACTTTCTAGGTCTGATCTTCATGCAGCTGCCAAGTCGTGTCCACAGTCTAATGTACTGTGTCTGTGACACTGTCTCAGCCATCAGCAGATTGATGAAACATCATTGATCTGTTACTCGAGGATCGGTGATGTTTCCTCCACTCCTCAGAGACGTGCAGGTGTTTCTCCTCTTGAATTCTAGGTTATTTAACACAAAGAGATTGTAGCCGCCTGTTTGTGTCTGAGTGTACAAGGAAAAAATAACTACTTCATGTTTTAAAACTCGGTTTCTATCGGCTGAGTTTGACAACACAAAGTTGTGTGATTCAAGTGAAGCTTTCCTCTGTGTTTATTCATTCAACAGGTCAATTGATGCCAGGGTTGAATTTCATTCTTTTTGTTGAGTGAAATTTTATTTGAAATGTTTTATTTGAATGAAATTTAAAAAATGTGTTCTAGCCCTGGTTGAAGACTTGGTGAAGACCACTGGCCGCACTATGTCCCAGCCCCAAGATGCTCTCTGGGGATCCTGGGAAACGTGGTCCGGCTGTTCACAGCAGTGTTCCAGAGGTTTCCGAACCCGCAAACGTATCTGCTCGACGGCAGAGGGCAGGACCAACCCGAGCTCCTGCGTGGGATCCCCGGTGGAGTATCAGGACTGCAACACTCAGCCCTGCCCAGGTAACCGGAGCATTTTAGCAGCGTAGTTTCAAAAAGCTTAAAATGTAAATAGTAATAAAGTTTACTGTGTGTGCGTGTACCAGTGAGTGGAGCCTGGTCTTGCTGGTCCTCCTGGTCCCAGTGCTCGTCCAGCTGTGGAGGTGGACACTACCAGCGGACTCGGCAGTGCAGCAGCCCACCGCCTGCCAACGGAGGAGACATCTGTATAGGCCTGCACACTGAAGAGGCTCTCTGCAACACACACACTTGTGAAGGTACGAAAATGTGTAAAAGCTGCATCACAGAATATTTGTAATGTAAATCGCAATATCTCAAAAATGCCTGGAGGGAATTTATTCAAATTTGGCACAAATATTCAGTTGGACTCACAGATGAACTGATTCAATTAGTTTTTTGGGATTTTGCCTTTTATTTTTCCACTTTCTAACTTTGTTTTTAAAAACTTCTGGACAGAGTTTAATGTCATTTAAAATAACTGTCACACCATAAATACACTGGATAGATTCAGCCTGTCTGCCAAGATTGAATGATGTTGTTTGTATGGACGCTGATGGGAAATCTCCAAACAGCAAGTGAATCAATATTTGTGTTGACAGTGGGGTCGTTGGAGCGTATCCCAGAATGCATGGGCTAAAAGATAAAAAGTAAACAGAATAAAATGAATGAATTATCCTCAGATTTTAAAACTGATCCAAACATGGACATTTATTTTGACTTTTAAATAAAAGTAGAGATATTGACATCGACTGTAAACTGCGAAACGCAACGATTGTTCTTGTGCCCTGTGTCTACTCTTTCCTTTTTTGTCACTAGGTTGGGGCGAGTGGACAGAGTGGGGGGATTGCGATGAGGAGGGTCTGCAGCATCGCACTCGTCACTGCAGCGAGGACGGGGTGGCTGAGGCTGGTCTCTGCCAGGGCAACATCACCCGGTCCAGGCCGTGTCAGCCGCATGAGGTGCCAGGTAAAAGCACGTTTGTATTTGTTTGCCATTCACATTAAATCGAGAGTTTGTTAAGTAATGTTGAGAAGTTAAAAATACAAATTAATGGGGATGCTGTCGACGTTTTTTGTGTCTTCGGATCTTTTAGAGCTTTGGTGATTAAACTTCACGACATGTATTTATGTTGTATGTCTGCCGCTCTCTTTCTCCAGTTATTCTACCCGGACAGGACGACCACAGCTGTGGAAGTGAGTGGCATCTTCCCATGAGCTCTCCGAGAGTTGTTGTTCTTTGTTAGCGCCTGACACACACCTCCTCTGTGTGTGTGTGTGTGTGTGTGTGTGTGTGTGTGTGTACCTTCGCTCTCCTGTTGAATCCAAAGCGAATCAATATCACCTCTGTTTCTTTGAAGCCTCTGAACGTTTAACAACAGCCAGTTATTGTTGCAAGGTCACAATGTTTTTTTTATCACTCGTGCACCAGGCATTTTATAGCATATTGACTTTTGTTTGCAGCTTTGGCCCCATGTGGCGTGGGACTGGAGTTTTGATAAAGTTTCATTGCACCTGAGCTCAGGGTAAAAAGAAAACACGATGGATAACTGGTGGACAAATCTCCACACGCCCTTGCAGATCTACCACAGCAGGAGTGTCGTAAAAAATCAAGAGGCCTGTCGGAGTTGTAACTTAAGACTTGTCTGTATTTCCAGCGAAAAATATCTATGCACACATTTACAGATTTGTTAATTATGCACAAATGCACTTGCAAATGTCATTATACATTTATTTTTAACTCCTGTCTCTTTGCTCTCTCCCCTGTGCCACCAGCCTTCACTTTGTTCCAGCTGCTTGCTGTGGGCTCAGCTTGTTTCTTTGCAGCAGTGTTACTCTCAGCGCTGGCCTACACGTACCACCACCACCTGAGCCGACCGTCAGCAGAGTCCGCGGTGATCCACCCCAGCACGCCCAACCACCTCACCTACAACAAGCAGGGCAACAGCACGCCAAAGAATGAGAAGTACATCCCCATGGAGTTTAAGGTAACACTCGTATGTCTCCTTTGTTAGATAGATTTAAAGTGAGAGAGAACAAATGATGACACGTATCTTTTACTTCTGACAAGAATTATCTTTGTCTCTACACCGCAGACACTTAACAAGAACAATCTCCACGTGAATGACGAGACGTGCAACCACTTCCCTTCCCCGCTGGCCTCCAGCAACATGTTCACCACCACCTACTATCCTCCCAGTCTGGGCAAGTACGACTTCCATCCAGAATCCCCCTGCAGGACCTACATGCACAGCTGAGAGAAAACAACCCTCTTCACTCATCCCATCTCCACCCTGAAGGATTTCAAAGTCCTGAAGTAAACACCAAAATCATCATAATCAGGTTCCAGAGATCTTAAATACTTCTGTAAGTCTGCATGATCCACAGACGTCACTGTAAACAGAGATTTAAAATGGACAATTTCTTTATCAGAGAGTCGTTTAAATTGAAAAATTCACATGACAGTGGAGTATTAGAGGAGATATGGGAGAGCATGCATGTTACATTATAATTTCTTTGCCACTGCAGTGTGGTAATGAAAGTTCAAACACTGTAAATCAATGGTTAATGAGTTAAAGGAATAGTTTGACGTTTTGGGAAATACACCTTCTGATTGTTAGATTCCATTTGATTCTTCCTTCCCTGGACTGTTTATAAAGATGGACGACATGACGGCTCCCCAAAAGTGAAAACGTTTGTATCCGGGATATTTAAGCTTCATTTCTGAATAGTGGGAGGAAGTGGAGATACTTCATCCATCTTTATATAAAATCTGCAGGAAAAGAAAACAGAGAAAAGACTTAGAGTTAGGTGATTTAACTTCTTTTTTCAGTCATAGGTTCGATACCATCAGAGAACCTTTGTGAGCCACCTGTGACTGGTAAAAGAATCTACCACCCGGTGAGCTGGTCGGATGTTCAAAGTAGAAACTGCACGTATCTTCCCTGAAACCATAAATCTTCTCCATTACGTTTCAGTTTGTGTTTGAGTTAAACAAACGGGATGCAGCTTGAAACGTGTTGACTGCAGCTCCGGTCTCAAGGCACAGGCCTGAGATTGATATTGATGTTTTTATTTGGCTCCATGAAAGGAAGCAGATGGCATATTACACCAATGATCGGCTCTAGTAGTTTATAACCAGCGCCCCCTCCATCTACTCAAGGAGGAACCATGTTTGATTTAAACAACCACCTGCAGATGAAATCTAACTCTCACTTCACCCACCCTGACGTGCTCCGCTTGTGCTCAGGACAGTTTGAAAACACGGTAAAAAAATGACTGAAAAATAACACTGATGGTTTGCAAAGGAGGGAGGAAGCACTGTGTGGCTCCAGCAGATCCGACAGGTGCTCTTCAGTGAAAAAAAAAAAAAAAAAACAAGATCCAAGGCTTCAACAAAGCTTCAGACATGACATGTAGCTGGATTCCTTCTGGACTGAGACAACACTCATCTGCTGCTAATGTGTTTTTGTCATTTTGAGTTCAGAGGACTTACTAATCCTGTTTAGAGACTTCACAGGCAGCTTGTTCAAGTGTCGGCTGCCATCGGCAAAGACTGAAAAACAAAATCTCCCCTCACATCTTCTTCACTCTGTGTGGACGGAACAGAGATTTGCAGGTTTCTGCCGTATTTGCTTTAATTTTTCATATTTGCAGCGTTCACAGTGGAAAACCCTGATCGGGACGTTTTCACTCGACCTGGACGTCACTGACGTCTTCGGACTTTTCTGTCAGCAGATAAGTTGCATTATTTTCACAGATGTATTTGTGTCCTGAAACAACTTGATGGATTTTATTCGTCACACAGAGACAGTTTTTTTAGTTCACCCCTGTTTTCTGGATGTTTATGGTTATTTCTCAACAGTCACCAAATACAACGCATGCTCTGGAACCTTCCAGAACATTTCACAGTGTGGAAAACAATGGCTGCCTTTACGGTAGGAAGAACACAGTTTGTTCTGCAGCAATGACATAAAATATAACTTTGAGATTGATTAAACACTGGTTTGATGTAAGGAAAGCAAGGTAAACATTGTTTTAATGGACTATAACTCTGTTTTCCTCATGTTATCCGGGTAAGAACTGGATTCTCTAAAATGTGAGATTTAAATGTGAGTGTGAACGGTTGTTTGTCTCGATTTGAATTTACAGACGCAACAAACTGTTGATTATATTTGACCTTTCTCCTGAAAGAAAATATCTATAATTGGGTACGAATTGCAGAGGAAACAGGAATACAGCATTTGTCCATGTAATATTTGTGCGTCTAATATTGCTGGAAACATTTTTCTTTATACATGTTGAATATACATGCCTCTAAAAGCATTTCATATTCAGCCGACTGGCTGGATTCAGAAACTGGAAAATGAATTGAAATGAATTAACTATATGTGTTTTCGGTTGGGCAATTTTCCTCAATAAATACAACCAAATGAAGTTTGCAAGAAATGATTCAGACATTAAAATATGTAAAATAAACAATTTGCTTAAGTTTTGCTGCTGAAAAAGCCCAAAAAGTCAACTATTAAAGTCACAACATGTAGTTTCTCCAGATTATGGCCACTTCTCCTGGTAGAATCAAGACATACACTTCCTCTACATTCACCATTACGACTGGATTTTGCTGAGATTGTCCAACTAAAGCTCTCCAGGATAATATCTAACTTTAAATCCAGACATTGGTTTTAAAATCATTTTTAAAACACGTTCAGTCAGTCACCATCTCGGTTCCTGGTCTGTTCCATGAGAGTATTGCTGATATTTAAGTTTATCCTGTGCTGTGAAATGTATATGATTCCATTCAGTGTCTTGTGTTTCTGAAATGTTAATGAATGCAGGTGTTTTTCACCATTTGCAGTTTTATGTAGCATGAAACAACATGTGTGTTCACGTCTGGGTGCTTGCATCACAAGTAACTGCATGCAGCGATGAATATACGACCTGTTTGTGTACAGACAAACTGTACACACGTGTGTATTTGTATTTGGACACGATGATGGAAATATTCCCTGTGTAACGTATTTAAAGGTCTCGACAGCTGAATCCTCATTAGACTCAATAAACCCTCACAATTTGTTGGTGAATCCCTTCAAACAAACACTTCTGCTGAATGTGACTCAACACTGCCTTTTGGACACTGTGAACTTTTGTTACTCTATATTTTTTATAATGTACACTGTAAAAAAATATCAAAAGTTGAATAAATCAGTTTTGGTGCCAATATTTTGATCATTGATCATCACAAGTTTATCTCAATAAGAAACATCTGGAGATTATTCATCAAATATCAAATAGTCTGAGTTTGACAAATACACAGGTAAAAGTTTTTCTGACTAATGCACAAGTTGCTCTTCTTTCAGTGACTTCACTCCCTCTGCCTCCTTACGTCTTTAATAATTGACCGGAGCTGAGAGCAGAGACGGCTGCAGGTACGTCTGTAAGACCTTGAACGTCTATGGGTGATTATATTTTTATTTTACAGATCAAGAGATGTTTGCTGCTGAACGATAGAAGCATTAAAACGTGTAAGAAAAGTAAGAATTCACACACTAGCATTCCACTCTGGGCCCACTTTAGACATTTGGCCTCTCGTGAGCCCTCGCTGACATATTATGCTGGATCATCTTTTACTGGCAGGCCCAGTTCTCGGAAATCCCACTTTCCACGGTCGAGGCTGAAGCCCAGGTTGTGTTTCCTGTTAACACTGCTCAGGTGTTCGCAGCCTGATCGCTGCAATAACAGCCCGAGTGGGAAAAAACCACACAAGTTAGTAAAAGAGCCAATGTTTCAAACCAGTTACTGACCCGGCTGCTCCCCAGTGTTCATTGTTCAGCGCTGCTCGGCTGTCTGAGAGTTTAATCTGCTGCTAAAACCTCCGCGTCACCAAAATAGACGACCCTTGTGTGCTCGTTCTCTGTGTTTACTTATTTATTTTTCTGTGGAATCTTTTTTTTTCCCATTTAGCAACTAGACAAACTGGAGCAAAAGTCCATAAATATTACACAGGATATAAAGATACACTCACATTCATGAAGATAGTTTCATTCACCGTCCACTTTATGAAACACAGTATAAATGTATGTGTTCCAGACTCATGAGGTCACTGTGACCTTTGACCTGATTGTTCTTGCTCTTCTCACACAGACACACAAACCTCCACTGACCAGTAACTCGTCATCAGTGGAACTCCAACAGTTTAATCCTCCCACTTTAAACTCTGTTAATCCACCACATTCACTTGACAGAAGATTTGTCTGATCAAAGTGTCCACGCACATGTGAAGACAAAAGTCTGGACGACACCAAAGTGCCCAGACATTTGTCACTTGTGTCACATGAGTCTTCTGTACGAGCCACGAATACAATTTCTGTTCTAGTGGAGCGCGGTGTTTCTATCCATGAGTGGTTTAAATGTGGAGCGACTGAGATGTAAGAGGTCAGTAACAGGTGAGTGTGGAGACTCTCAGGTAGAACCACTCTCAGACAAACAAGCTGAGATGGACGGAGGAGGAGCCTCCTCTGTTCTTGGTTATTTTTGTTCTTAGAGAAGGTTGAAGAAACTTCATGGCAACAAAGTCCTCGTGTGTGTGTGTGTGTGTGTGTGTGTGTGTGTGTGTGT